AAGATTCTAAGAATACAACAGATTGCAAACCCACGGTGAACAGTCTGCAATGAAGGACATGGTCAATATAAATCCAAATCCTTGTTTGTCATTAAAGATTTTAACAGAGAGTTGCAGCAAAAGAAAAAAACCAAACCAAGAAACGAAAAACCTAGCTTCCTTTTTTCTCCTGGATAACTACACGAAAATTTCACACAGAGCTCTGTTTCACTACGGTTAGTTCTAACTTTAAGTATTATCTGAAGGAAATCTTACTTTGGCTCCCAGTCCTGGCAGAAAGCAGGATTTTTCAGCTAATAAGGGCCTGGAGGTTTTAGAAGGCCATGGGGGTTTTTAAAATATTCTTCAATTTTTGCAAGTCAAATCACTAGATGATGTGCTAGATCTAAAGTACCAGTTTATGGATTACTATTCATGCTGAAACTTTAAGATATGCAACTAGTTAAGTACAAACCCATAGCGTATCTGATCATTGCTGTAGTTTTATTGTTCTGTAATGGACATTCAAAGAAGGAGTTGGCATTTTTTTCCAAAAGCAAGAGACCTGCCACTTTGCTTTTAATACATGAAACTCTTCAACCCTGAGCTGTCACAATTTGCTACCATATATTTTTGCTCAGTTTATATTTCCATAGGCTTCAACATGCCAAAAGGTTGGCGTGGTTACTAATGGCAATGCTACATCCTACAGTGGCAGGAAGAGAAAAAACGATACACAACATATGCAAAATTATCACATCAGGAGAAGAATTCATGCAACAGAGCCACATGTATTCTCTAAAAAATCCACCAACAAACCACTTTCATATACTGCAAATTTAACATTTTTATTCAGATTACTGTAACTGGAGATACACTGGGAACATTTTTTAACACCTGAACAAAGAGGTAGGATGTCCTTCCTGCCCTTCTGCTTCTACAGGTTCAGTTAGAGCTATGCACCATTTTTGCCTCCCTACCTAACCCAGAAAAACTGGTAATAATTAAATAAGAAGTATCAGAGCATCTCTTCTGCAACGTCTCCAAAGCTCAGAAGGGGCACCTCCAGCCATGGAAAACACTGCAATCCGATCTGAAATTCTCTATTTTCCCATCTCACACAGCAGTTTGCAGCTCATACAAATGTTTTGAGAACATGGTCGTATTTCAGTATTAGACAGGCAGCAAAACCAACTGGGTCAAGTTTTTGTTGTTTGTGGGTTGTTTTTTTTCAAATTGCGTAGTTTCACTGTCCCACATAGGAAGCAAACAGATAGACTCTAATTAAGATGCCCTGCCATTGAATTTGAAAGAAAAATCTTTGGAGTTTAAGTGGACTGTGCTAGTATTCCTACACCTCAATAAAACCATAAATGTGACATGGCTTCACTTCTACTTTATGTGCTTCATACCAAAGCCAGTAAAATAATTCCTCAGTCTTATGTGTAATTTCTTGTGAATGTGTTTGGTAAAAGCACTATGAGCGCATCTTCACTTCTACTATGTGGCTTATTGGATTAATTTCCAGAAATACTGCCAGCAGAGTTTGCTGATGTCCAACATCTGAACTTGTTCTCACATATTATAAAAAAATCAGTTAATGGGCAAGATTCAGAAGCAATTAATGTTTGCCAAAGGAACATTGCTCCAAAACCCCTGAAATAAAGATCTCTATCCTCCTCTTGACTTTTTTTGTTGGTTTGTTGTTTTAAAGAAATACACACAAAACCTACTTGGTTTTGTGCACCTATTTACAAATTGAATTCTCCGTAAATTATAAAAGCACAACTAAAATACGTCTAGGTAAAGTAATACAAACTAAGCTACAGAGGAGTTACAAACAGCTCTGTTCCATTACACCTTTAATTACAAATTTATCATGTTTGTTACTGAGAGTTATGCATAGGAACTAACACAAACAATCATGGTTTCAGGATGTGTTTGAGAATGAAAATACCTCTTATTCCACAGCATAAAGAAAATACTGTCCTCACAAGATTCTTAGCAAAGCTGTTGTAATAAATTATTAATAATTCACACAGTAATAGGACTGCATTATAGCTTTAGCCTAAGCTGCAAAAAATACAGTTGAGTCAAAGCTAATATTTTTGTGATATCCTAACAATTTTCTTTTAGTTATTTTGGGAGTTGTAATCTGATTTAGTATATCTAACCCAAATTTGCTGAGTTGCGTTTTGTAGGTTTGATTTTTTTAAAGCCACTTCAGGAATAAATCCTGGATACTTTATTACTGAATATACTCCCAAATAATACAATATTCTTTGTTCATCAATGCTATGATACATATCACTGTAAATATACCTGAGTAAGAAATACCATTTGACTTAATTTTACAACATATTATTACATCAGAATACGCCACTGAAAAAGTGTTTTCCCATTGTCAGGCAACTATGCCAGTTAGTGTCCTCAAGTATAACTAGACCTGAAATATCTATTGCTGTATAGCAAAATAAACATATATAATGTATACCATATTTTCACTTCCATTACTCTCTGCATAAGATTGCAACTTCTCACTCTTTTTTATCATTATAAGGCTGCTTAATTGTAAGATACAAATTTTATGGATCTAGCTGTAAAAGTTACTCCTTTGCCTGAAATGTTCAGAAATCCACCAATGCATACAAAAAGTTAAAAATATTTTTTTCAATGCACAGAATTACTTCTATTACACTCCCTCCTCTCATTAGGTTCCCTGGTTAAAATTTAAAAGTCTAGAAGGAATAACTCTCTGTGAAATTCTGTAGACACTCATTAACCAGGTTGTCCAGCTCTTTCTCCCACAGCACTAACAATGGTATGAATTTACCAATTTACCAGGTATGACATACCTGGGGATTATTTCCAGTTCCGTACATACATATCTTTTCTAAGAATATTATTAACTTTCTAAATAGTATCCAGCCACTGACTGGAGCCATACTCAGCCTGACCTATTAGTAAGCACAGTCTCAAAGTGGCAGACACCCTTTTCACCCACACAGATGTTGACCACACTGGCTCCTCCCACTGAAGACCTATCTGTTTCATGATCCAGGACATCAACAACAAAATAAACCAGAGCCCAGACCAGCAAGATCTCCTTCTCATTTAAGTGGACTCCAGCAGTTTACTCTCCCAGTAACACTGCATAAATTGAAAACCCTGAATCTGCTTTTTTGGTTTAGTACAGAATTGCGGTACCCCTTAGCTCCTGCAAATCTATTGCAGATGGTTGATTAGTAGCAGCCCAAGTGGATTTATGTCATACTTTGAGAAACACAAGGGTGTATCCTTTATATCACTGATAACGGGCAAGAGGCTGCAGGACAACAAAGAGGGAAACACAAGCCAACAATTAAAAATTACTGGGTTTAAGCACCTATCCACATCCTTTACATAACAGTTATGTGCAAGTTGATATACAGCACACACCTCTGTAGTGGCTCCATCTGTAAAATTCCAGTTACACTGCAGTGGCTCTCTCAATTCTTTTGTCTTTGAAGAAAAATGAAGAATTACTGTTGCCAGGAAATGTGTCCCTATACGGCACCTATCTGAAGGAAGAGGAACTTGAAAGCAAAATCTATGCTAATTAGTCGACTATACTGAGGGTAGTTAACAAGTCTTCAGGGTACTGACATAGAATAAAATAGAAGATTCAGCTTGTTTTGAAGACACTAAATACTAATTCACATCAGAGTTAAGAAGGGTAAATATTTTCAGGTTTAAAGAAAAATACAAAAG